AGCAAATGGAATGTAACTCACCTAAAAAGGTATTACTGATGAAGATCCTTATTGGTACTGAAAGTATGTGTTGCACTCTTTTTCCTTTCGACTAGTTTTTGTCCTGATTTAGTTTATTTGGCAAGGTTTTTAGTTCGACAACAATGTAAAGCATACTATGAAGGAAGGATCATCGGCAAGCTGGTGAATCGACAACCAAAAGCTCTGCTTCTTTCTCTTTTGCACAACCCGTATGGCAACCAACCTGTGGATGATTAAATAATCATTAGCTCGGTAGCTTAACTCATCTCCCAAGACTCTCATTGTCTCCATTGGCCTTTGGAAACATATTATTTACCCATCCACAATTTGTTTCCATTGATAAGACAACAATGCAAGCTTACTAAAAGAGAAGTGTCATCAACAAATGCAAAACTTCCACTTTTTGAATTCTTATACTTAGCATCCAAACACTGGGGGGGGGGGGGGGGGGGGGTAATACATGATAAGGAATTAAAAGTTTCACGAAGACCGGGGACTATTAGAACCAGGATCAATATCTTATCAGGACTGGGGACTGCATGATTAGTCCCGTAGAAATAAGTTGTACAAATTAGTCAAATGTATTGGCAGCTTTATTTACTTAAGCAAATGAATGTTTATGTAAATGTGCTTTTAAGAATAGAGGGAATAAATCAAAGTACTTTTATTTTTATTTTATCTGTTGTCCGAGTGATAAGTTAATTTATTTATTGTTTGAAAGTTAACAAAAACTTCGAATTTTTGTGCTGGAATGAACATGAGATGTCCTTCAAGAGCACCGTAAACATAAGGGCCCTCATTTTTGAAACCCTCATAGTAAAGGGTAGATTTTGAAAGTCTTTATGCCAGGAATCAAAAGCTATCTGATACGAAAATATTTCCGAAACTTTGTCAATTAAACGAAAAAAGAATATTTTTTACACAATAGTTAAGCTAAAAGTTTCTTTTATTAATTAAAGTGCCAAACTTAGTAAAACATTTTGGTGTAATTACAAAAGATAAAGGATATATATATATATAAAGAGTCTTCATTTTCTCTAGCGGGAAAAGGTTGTTCCGCTGCCAGTTCGAGGCTTTCATCTTCTTCACTTTGCCCTTCGGTTCCTGAATACTCAGAGTTAGTATTTGAAGAATCAGATGCAGTGGGCCGGACAAGAAGGTTCTCACAAGCGGTTGTCTCCAGTTCCTTGTCCTTGGCAATACAGTCATCAATATTGGCAATGCCTTCTTTGGCCTCCTCCAGAGTCTTGCTCTTCGTATGATAAATGACGTAGGTTTTATCGAAGACGAGGGAATCCTCTTCGTCCTGGAGTTTTTCTCTAAGCTTATCAATCTTGTATTGGAGCTTTTCATTTTCAGCTTTCAATGTGCCGATTTTGGAATCAAGCTCAACATTGGTGGTTGAGTGAAGTCGATTCTACTCCATGACTCTTTTGAGTCATTCTTCTATTTCTGCTCTCCTCTCCTCGGTAGCATTGGACTCCTGGGTTTTGGAGCGTAAGTTAGCTTCCATATTATTAACTTGCTCTATCAAAGCAGACTCATGCTTAGCAGCAATAGTCACAGTGTCATGAAGTTCAACTCACTTAGCCTTTGTTTCCTTAAGGTTTTCATGTAGCTGGGTAGTTTCCTGGTTGTGGGCCATTCTGTCTTACTCGAACTGATGCAGCATGCGCTCGACAAGTTGATTCCGTTTAGCCAAGAGCCAATCTCGTTCCAAAATAAGCTCTTGCTTGTCTAAAATCAACTTTTGTAGGCCCTCGGAAGCAAGAAAGTCGTCCTGCAAATAGGTCAATAAAAAGGTTACTAATGTGAAGTATAAATTAAAAGGAGATAGAATAAATTTAGATCGTTGAGTGTGCCAAACAGTGCATGCTATTGTTTATAAGGCACTCCGCAGAAAGAGAGTCCATTTTTCTCCAATCCTTTGCTGAGGCCAGTGGCTTCAGGTAATTGGCAAGCTCCACCAGCTTGGAAAGTATATGGCACTCCTTCAAAACTGAAAGAATGGCACTTCGCTTTCCACGAGGGTCTTGAGAGGGTGCCGAATAAGTATTACTCAAGTTCCCGAGGCTGGGAGACCATAGGAAGAGACATTCCCTACTTATTCGGTTGGTGCCGATGGAGGAGAAGCAATGGGTGCCGATGGAGAAGGAGCAACTGGTGCGGATGGAGAAGAAATGGTTGGTGTAGAAGGAGTGGCAGTTGTTACTGGCTCAGTAGTTGGTGGTAGAGGAAGGTCAGGGGCTAACTCCTTTGACCGATGACATCGACAAGGATTGGAAAGCGGGAATTGGCATTTTCAACCAAACCCATTTCCCCAGAGTGCCTGAACTTCTTCTGGTGGTGGATTTTGAAGCTCTCCCGGCTGAGCACCAAGTTGTGCTGATGAAGACCTTTTTCTTCTTTGAAGAGGCGAATCTTCATTATTATACCCTTCTTCATCATCAAGGACCACTGTGGCCGGTTTGATTGATGTTCCTCTCACTCTCTTCTCCTGAGTCCCAATCAAGAAGGTACACTTCCTCTTTGGTTTCTTATTTTTGGACTGGGGACTCCGGGATGAGGCACCCTCATCGGAGGCACGAGTAGATCCATGAGCCCTACTCCGGTTAAGATCATTCTACAATACCCGTTCGGCCTCCTTCGAGTTTTTGAGAGACTCGACGTCGGGACACACGACAGAACTCTTTGGAAGTCCTGTGTGGAGGGAAAGGGCAGTTAGGAGATTGTTCCTAAGTTGTTAAGATTGAAACATAGAAGATTTTTTACTTACCGTGATTCTTGTCTTTCCACCCATATTTGGGAGCCATCTCTTTACACCATTGGGATTCTGGTGTAGTGATATCCAGAATTTTCTATACCCATCGGTCTAGGACTTGAACTCATGGTAGTTCCCCATAAGTAGCTAGAATGAAGGAAATAAAAAGTCAGCAAAGAAAGAAGTTTTCTTTTTACATGGGCGGGAAACAGGTACCCGAAGACTTACGGAAAAGATTCCATGACTTAGGGAAAGCTAACTCTGTGGTCGAGATGATGTCTCTGGTATCAAGACAACGAACCGTTTCATCCATCCATGATCGTTGTCATCATCAACGCTGGTAAGGAGGACATGATGAACGTTCTTGCTAAGGTTTAGCACACTCCCACAGAAAATCTTTGGGGAATAGAGGTGCATCATATGCGCGGAAGTTAAGATTTCCCTGATCTTATAGCATAAATAGCGGAGGCATGCCACTGTACACCATATGGATGAACCTACTTGTGCCAAGCAGACTTGGTACCGGTGACACAATTTTAAGATTATTGGGTCAATTCCTTCGCCCGCTCCCAAGGTGAAAGGACCCAAAGTGAAGGAGTATGTATAGACATACATGAACCCCGGCTTGGAGTAGGTAACTCACTCTATCACATCGGGGGTGAGGATTTCGACGTTATCCCAATATTACATTCTTCCTTTACAATAGGAAGAAGGACGAATGGAAGAATGGTAACATGCTAGAACCTGTCACTTTTAGAATTTGGAGGTGTTGTGTGCTCTTGAAGATCAGATGTTGTGCTAAGGTGAAGTGGTATGATGGTGTTTGCGATTGGAGGTTCAGAATCGACGTCAACCTCTTTGGTTATGTTCTTCTTTGGGCCCCTACCGAAGAGAAGGCCAAAGTTTTCGGGGACGGCAGTGTTTGAAGACATGTTTATGAAGAAAAGCTTTTTTACTGAGAAAGTTGAATATTGCAAAAGAGCTCTAAGGAGATTCGAAGAAGAAGAAGAAGAAGAAGAAGAAGAAGAAGAAGAAGAAGAAGAAGAAGAAGAAGAAGAAGAAGAAGAAGAAGAAGAAGAAGAAGAAGGAGTTGTGAAAGTAAAGAATGAAATGATGACTAGTGGAGAAGTTATAGACGATAAAAATCATGGTCATGATCTCCTCGAAAACTGGCAAAAATATTTGCTAAATCACAGGGCAACACGTGTTCGGGTCATTAATTGCAAGAAGACATTCGTCCTTTCAAATGTTAGAGACCGTTCATGAACTTTCCTACCAAGAAATAAATTCTTATCCACTTCACGGTAATGCTAAGTTGCGTCATCGAGAAGTAGGGACTATCTGTATGGGGTAAATTGGTTAATGACAATTAAGCGAATGACGGAGTAACACGTGGAACTAAAGACAGGTGGGATGTGAGTCACCAAACAGCTGACACCAGATGCAAGCACGCAACCAGTGCTAAACGGATCCCGAAGACAGATCAGCCGATAACAAAGATTCAAAGTTGTCATCGGATAATATTCAATGGGCAGCTGTTATAGAGAATATATGCATTTATAGCCAATCGTTATGCACCCATCAATGACGATTTTATTCTCATTCAAGAGGAGTTTGATTTGAGGATCTGGTCTCCATGAATCAAACCATAAATAGGAGGATTAACATCCATTGTAGACACGAAATACTCTACACATAAAAGGCTATAATCCACTGTCATATTACGCTCAATTTTAGCGCTTGAATATTGCTTTCACTTTTGTTATCAGAAAGGTTAAGTTCTTAGTCGGGCTTGTTGTCTTCTCTAATTTCGTTTGACAATCTTACTTTTGTTCTCATTTATTTATTATTTTTAGGCAAATCAATTCGCTTGTCTATAAACCACGCTATAAATTCAACTGTACCGTTTTATGGGTAAACAAGTAAAATAACAAAGCTTATCATTTGTTATTTTGCATCATCTGCTCCTAATGTTTAGGAGGGTAATTATAAAAAGGAATCACAGTTTGTAAGTTAGAAAGTGAAGCCCTGATATCTTTGCATTTCATTCTTTACTTGGAGGTGAACATAAGTGAATTACATTTTTCCAGCATGAAGACCAAGTATTTTGAACATAAATGAAGCATAACTTTCTTACAAATAGACACAAGATGTGATTTCGACAACAGTGTTAGTGTAACAAGATATAGAAGATGGCTGTAAAAGCTTACTATGGTCATCAAGATCTTGGAGATTTCTCCAACAGTGCAGAAAGATAAACTTCATCCTTAGACTTGGAAGAAATAGCCCACATGTGTTTTTTGTACCTGAATTGCAGGAACATGTACATGAAGTCGTCGAGATCCCTCCTGTTACAGAAGAATCGATCAATCCATAACAAGCCTCCTTGTCTTAAAACGCGATCCCAGTCAAAAAGGATGAAATCTAATAGTTGCAGATCAATCCAACCATCCATAAGTCCAGTCGTATGGATCAAATCCATGGTGTGGTCAAAAAATGGGAGTCGTTGGTTCAATGTCACATACAGTGGAATCAGACCCCTAAGTGTCATCATCTCACTAAAAGGAGCCCCAAGATTCAGAGCAGTCGAGATGATTGTTACATTCTGCTCTCTCATTCTTGCAGCAAAAGTCCCTGCACCAACACCATAATCTAAACCAATTCTGATCTCCCCAGGTTTGATCGCCAAAACATCTTTGATCAAGAAATCCACTGGAACGGAGGAGTTTGTTACCCATTTTAGCTTTTCCTTATCCATTTCAAAACATCCGCCTATGCACTTAGTATAGCGTCGTCTTGAATTCTTACTTGATAAGCACTCAAAGTTCCTGCACTGGTAATTGCTCCATCGAACGTTTCTTCCATCTGGAATTGTCCAAAGGGACTTGGTAATTGTAATGCATCTTCTCCTCGGCAAAGGATCACAACCATAAATTATTAGCTTCTGAGCCAAGTTCCAATCATCTTTACAATATGATCCAATATCATAATCCATATATTCCTCTAACTCTTTCTTCATCAAAACACACGCATGCCCTATCGTGTTATAAATCTTCAGTGTCCCGTAGATGTTAACCTTACCATTTCTCTTCCTCTTAGGGGTTATATACTTCCTTATCTCTTCAATCACAAAGGAATTAATCAAGGGATCTTCTTTGATTGTCACAGTTCCAATTCCTTCAACTCTTGGCAGCCTAATTTGCCTAAGGGCAATTTGCGCCGAAGATAGAGGCCTAATCACCTCTTCCTCCAGAAACCCCTTGTACTCCAATATTGAAATTTTGCTTCTAGATAGCTCAATTTTATTCTTTTCCATCTTTGTTACAGTCAGTTCTAGCTTGTTTTGCATATTTTCAAACTTTTTAAGCACTTCATCAACTCGAGCTCTCAGCCATTTTATGTCGAAACCATCATGTACTGCTTTAACGCCATAAAGATGGTGGCATATTTCCTCATCATGCATGAAAAATCCAACAGAAGAGAAGCTAAATAAACTGGAAAGGCTTACAAATATAAGAAGCCCCCCAAGCACAAGTTGGAGCCAACCAATAATCCTTCCTAATGTACGTTTTCGAAAATGAAAATAAGGCTTCCCCATCCTCAATGACAAACAAAAAACAACTATTTCTCAATCAAAGCAGAACAATTTTCCAGAAAAGAATTCAAAATGAGATGGTGCAGTGCCTATCGAAATAGCATCCAAACAAGCAAATAAAAAAGCTGCTCATTTTTCAATTACACCAAGAAGGGTAAAAGGGTGAACTGACCAACGATGGTTGAACACAAATGGAGAGAGTTCTAAGAAAATGGCTGTTAGAACCCAACAAGTGCTCAAGTTTTTAGGTTAATTAATTAGTGAACTTTATTGAGCTGGAAAATCGTGAACTCCAAGCTCAATAGCTGGGCGATGAGGTTGATGAAAGAAGAGAAATTCTCGTAAAGGAACTGCCTATAGCTCAGTATATACACAACAGGAACAGGGTATTCTTTATATTCAAGGAATTGACACAATACTAATATAAGAGCGTTGACAATTGGGAAAGGAGGGGGAACCGTTTCATTTGAGCAACTGCTTCTTGTGTCAAAGGTTGAAAGTTTTTGACCGTCCAAGTTTCGCATATCCATATATGCTTTGCTCGTTGAATATTTGCAAGCTATGGGAGAATTACAGAATAGCTAGCGAATGAGTTGAATTGGAAATAATCTTTTCTGCTGAGACATGATCATGTGTTTTCATGATCAACTTGTACATAGAAAGTAGTAAATCTGTTTTATTTTAACAGAGAGCCGTACATTCTCAGGATTAGTTTTTGTAGATTTATATATATATATATATATATATCTTGAACCACTCCATAAAAATAATGGTTGATAAATTTATATATTTTATATATATATATATATACACACATTTTATATTGCCAAGTACAGTTGAGACAAAACTTACCTGCACCGGGTATTTACACCCAGTGTAGTTAACAGTAGTTATGTTAACCATAAACAACAAACTAAAGTTTATTAGAAGTCTTATTTTTAAATAATAAAAATTTTAAAGACAGAATTTATCTAATAAGGCACCGCGTGATAAAATTTAGGAATGCCGTCACATTTCTATCTTTTTTTTCCCTGAGTTTTTCTTCTAATATTGGTTTCACACTTTATCGTTGATTTAACAAGAAGCTGAACTTTACTTTTACAATGATGCAATTGTAAAATTAATGTACAGTACTACAATATTATGCCAAAAAGTCAACTAAGAATATATTGTGGGAGACAAGTTTTGCAAGTAAGCATAGATCACTTTTTCCTTAGGAGTAAGCAACACTAATTTCAAATATAACTTCAATAAATGTGGAGTTTTATTTATGTTTTCATTGAACACATGAAAGTACCAAAAAAGAAAAGTAGTCTGCCTCCTCTCTTTTTTTTCCTTATCAATAAATCCTACTACACTATCTCTTTGTTTTGCCATATAACCTATGGAACAATTTTTGAACAAATGAACGTCTACAGGTAGCTAAAAAACTTGAGTTTTTCTCAAGTGGTTTCTTGTGTTTCGGGTAACTTGCCACTGGTTTAAGTTGACGTTAACATAAGGAACATAATAAAGAATAACAAGATTATTAAGTATTTTTTGTACTATTATTTAAAATTATGTGAAAAATATATGGTAGTTAACTATGGTTATATACTAAGAATTGTGGTTAAATAAAATGACATACACCATTTATTTATAGAATGGGTATAAACACCCGGTATGGGTAGTAAAAATTGCACGGAGCACCTTATTTGATCGCCCCCATTTAACCTGTACCTATTTTTTTTAAAACTTGTACCCACTTTTTAAATAATTTCAGCCCCTTTCTCCTCCTCCTTCTCCTCCTTCGTTTTCTTCTTCTTTCTTCTGCTGTTGTTGGTGCAGATTATTTCTTCTTCGTTTTGTCTCAATTAATATTCTTTTACGTAAGCATAGTTATGGATTTAACTTAACTGTTTGTTCAGATTTTTCATGAAGTGGAACGAGTCATCTATTGAGCTCAAAAACGACAACCTGTGATGAAATAGAATAGAGTAACATATTTGAAGGGAAGATATACGTACACAAACACAACTATGACAAGTAGGTCAAGTAATTTGTAGCAACTTTTTGCCTAAACAAAGAACACCATAATTAAGGATAAATGATAGATTAACTACTCTCATCTTGGCTACAAAAAGTACAAAGAGTTATCCATATGAAATCACCGGTGATTATAGATGTCTTTGCTAAGTACAGGAAAAGCAGTCAAGTGATTAAAAAAATTCCGACTCCAGAAGAGGAGAGCCAAGTAAAATATTAGTACAAACAAAAACTTCACCTCTAGAGCTGAAGCTTACAAACAAAAAGCCAGTTACAAACAAAAACTTCAGCTTTATAGCTGAAGCTTACAAAAAAATTGACAGTTACAAAACAAAAACTTCAGCTCTAGAGATGAAGCTTACCAACAAAAAACCAGTTAAAAATAAAAATTTCAGCTCTAGAGCTGAAGTTTGATAGTTACAAAACAAAAACTTCAGCTCTAGAGCTGAAGCTTACAAACAAAAACTTCAGCTCTAGAGCTGAAGTTCGCCAGTTACAAACAAAAACTTCAGCTCTAGAGCTGAAGTTCGACAGTTACAAAACAAAAACTTTAGTTCTAGAGCTGAACTTCAGGCCCGGCTACTAGAATGCTGAAGTTTTGTGTGATTGTCTTTGCTACTTCAGCCCCGTATGCTGAAGTTATGCGAAAAAGCGGGTACGCTTGCAATTTTTTTTGCAAAGCGGGCACAAGTTAAAACGTGACACAAAAAGCGGGTATAGATGCAAATGCCCCATATGGGTAAGTATTTACCTTTGTGAAACCTTACCTTTATATTATTTTTGGTTCCGAAAAACATTTTGGTTTAATGTTCAATATTATAATGTTTGATTGATGCGAGCACTGTTGTTTTTGTTCTTTTCGTAAATAACTTTGATTGACAATTATTAAACCAAAGATACAGTAATTTCGCAAAATTATGTCCGAAGTTTTTCCGATAACTAGCTTTTTGAAACTAATCAAACCAAATACCAACGCCACTTCCCGGAGGAAAAAAACTTGCTCCCTCCATTCCATTCTAGTGGTAGTGTATGAAGGAACAATATATTTAAGAAAAAAGAACTTTAAAAAAAAAAGCTTGGGATCTTAAACAAAAAGTAGACATATATATATTACCTTAATATATATTTCATTAAGTATAAAATAAAACATGTAAAATTAAATTATGTAGTACTAACTATAAAATATACTTATTAACTCTTTTTTTTCGGAACAAACTAATAATAATATAAAAAGGACCAGTATACATAAAATGTGACCCAAAAAGTAATTTTTTATTTTGTTCATGTCGATTTCTATAAGGGGTAGTTGGTACGATGGATAACTAAAAATAATCGGGGGAAAAATTATCAGCGTATCCCTTTTTACTAATCCTGGATAAGTTATTACAGAATTAAAAATAGTATTGGGATAACGTATATCTGCCAGAGGGTAGAATAGTAATCCCAAGATAAAGCAGTAAAATTGACAATTTTAAGATTAATACAATATACACCAAACAGTCAATACGAAATAACCCTAGGATAGCTAATTGCAGCATAACTAATCCCTGTTGGGTTTTTATGTATTTAATACATAAAAGAGGGTGAATGGGAAATGGAGAAAAATGAAATTTTTGAGTGAAATTTTAAGTTTTCCCCTTGGCAAAGGGACATTATCTCATATTGGAAGAGGAAGAGGTATTTTATGGGTATATAAGCAATTGCTCTTCTTCTAGCTCTTAAAGAGTTGAGAAGAAGGCAAGCCTCGTGCCGTCGTCGTCGTCGCTCAGCTCGGCTTCGGCTTCGGATTTGGATTTATTTTTTGGACCAAATTTATTTGTTAATAGTAAAATATTAACAGAAATGTTATTAAATATTTTTTTTAGTAACAGAATATTAATATTAAATCCTCCAATCCGATTTTCTATTTTGGTAACAGAAAATTAACTACCCTCTTTATTTTCCCTCTTTATTGTTGAGTAAATAGCCATTTATGTAATAGTATTTATGTTGTGGCCGTTTTGCATAAATAGTCATTTTGAAGAGTTGCACCTCTTCATATTTCAGCCCAACTTTGACTATAAATACAAGACTATTCTGCTCAGAATTTCCATACGATTTTTTGAGTTTATCCTCCTTCTTCTGCATACTTTTAGCATCAAACAAAGCAACAGTAAGTGTAATTTGCTACCGAACTTTGTGTTCGCTGAAACACTGGGGTTTGAAGTACCACTACACTAGTGTTTAATTCGTTCTATCGTGGGAAGAAATAATCCATAACCTTGGGTACTACGAGGGGATTAAATTCCTTAAGGAAACACTGTGAATTCAGTGGGCTTGAATTGGTTTTCTGTTATTTCGTTGTTCATTTCTGTTTATGTTCATTTATATTTCCAGAATTATTTTACAAATGCAGTTTACTAACAAGCTTAAGGAATTTAAAATATTTTCTGTATTTGTACTCACTGTTTCTGGAGAGTAAAATCTTTGTGATTTTGTACTCTATTGGAGATTAAAATCTATGTAATTTTAACGTTTGTGTCATTCTTTTACAGAAATGACTAATAATAATGTGAACCAAGCTGATCCAATGGTGACTGTCAATGCCTCAACAAGCCGAACAACACCGATAGAATTGGCACCGGCAGAGAAACCCGAAAAAAATTTCGGGATTAATTTCAAGCGCTGGCAGCAAAAGATATTCTTCTATTTGACTACTCTAAGTCTCCAGAAGTTCATCAAAGAAGATGTTCATGTGCTGTCCGATGAAACTCCAGAAACTGAACGCTTTCTCGTGGTTGAGGTACGGAAGCATTCAGAATTTTTTTTGCAAGAATTATATTCTAAGAAGGCTGGAGGATGCTTTGTATAACGTCTACAGTGGCGTGAAAACGTCAAAAGAACTGTGGACTGCGCTTGAAAAGAAATACAAAACCGAAGATGTCGGGTTAAAGAAGTTCGTTGCTGCAAAAATTTTGGACTACAAAATGGTAGATAGCAAGTCTGTTATTATCCAAGTCCAGGAATTACAAGTGATTATTCACGATCTCCTTGCTAAAGGTATAAATCACATTAATACTGATGTTGAAAGTAGTAATCTTAGTATTTTTACTAACAAAAATTTCATTTAAGGTCTTGTTNAATTTCATTGAAGGTCTTGTTATCAATGAAGCATTCCAAGTAGCAGCGATGATTGAGAAGTTGTCTCCTTTATGGAAGGACTTCAAAAACTACTTGAAACACAAACGCAAGGAGATGTCCCTTGAAGATCTCATTATTCGGTTGAGAATCGAAGAGGACAACAAATCTGCTGAAAAGATAGGCCGTGGAAGCTCAACAATAATGGGAGCAAATATTGTTGAAGAGAAAAAAAAAGAGGAAGAAGGCTTCTGGACCGAAATACAACCCAAGCAAGAAGCGGTTCAGTGGAAATTGCTACAGTTGTGGAAAAGCCGGGCACAAATCTACGAAGTGTCGTGCTCCAATGAAAGACAAGAAGAAGGGTCAAGCAAATATTGTTGAAAAGCATGATGATGTTGATGACTTGTGTGTCATGCTTTTCGAGTGCAACTTGGTGGGCAATCTGAAAGAGTGGTGGATTGACTCTGGAGCCACTCGCCATGTTTGTGCTGTTAGAGAAGTTTTTTCTACTTATGCTCCTGTTAGACCCGATGAGACGATTTCTATAGGAAATGCTGCAAAGGCCAAGATTGAAGGATATGGGAAGAATTTCTCAAAATGACTTCCGGGAAAGTGGTGACTTTGAACAACGTCCTTCATGTTCCCGAGATTAGGAAGAATTTAGTCTCTACTGGACTTTTTGTTAAGAATGATTTTAAATGTGTATTTGTATCCGATAAGGTTGTAATAAGTAAGAACGAGTTGTTTGTAGGAAAAGGTTACCTCACTGAGGGCCTTTTCAAGCTGAATGTAATGGTTGTTGAAAATAATAATAAAATTTCAGTTTCGTCTTACTTACTTGAGTCAAATGAATTATGGCATATATGTTTGGGTCATGTTAATTATAAAACCTTGCGGAAAATGATTAATTTGAAAGTATTGCCTAAGTTTGAATGCGACAAATCAAAATGTCAAATATGTATGGAATCTAAGTATGTTAAACATCCTTATAAGTCAGTTGAAAGGAATTCAGATCCTTTAGACTTAATTCACACAGATATTTGTGATATGAAGT